GGAGGAGGAGGAGGAGGAGGAGGAGGAGGAGGAGGAAGGAAGAGGAAGGATGAGGAGGAGGAGGAGGAGGAGGAGAAGGAGGAGGCGGGAGGATGAGGAAGGAGGAGGAGGAAGGAGGAGGGAGGAGAAAGGAGGAAGGGGGAGGCAGAAGGAGTAAAAGGAGGAGGAGGAGGAATGAAGGAGGAGAAGGAGGGAAGAGGAGGAAGGAGGAATGCGAACCACCACACGGTTGAGCGAAAGGACGGAGAGGCAGGACCAGTACGGGGAAGTTGACGAATTGGACTGGCTCCAGTGTGGCCCGAGGGCGCAGCGGCACGGCAGCCTTGACCATCGCGATGAAGTGCTCCAGGTAGATCCAGCCCCTCTGATCGGCCGGCACGGTGTTCCTCGATTCGGGGGCTCCGAAGGACTTGGGGGCTCTTCAACAGGGCATCGAACCTCAGAGGAGACGATGCAAAGGCTCTGCGCTGCCTTGTGCGATCGAATGCGCGCCGGGTACCGCGCCGAGTCCGTCCCCAACTGCACGATCGTCCCTGACTTCGCGCTCGCACCAAGCCGTTCGCTCGCCTCGAATCGTGTCGTCGCTCCGGCCCGCGTTGCCACTTCGACCCCCGTCCTCCCCGCGAGTGCTCGCCAACGCATCTGCGGCTCATTACCATTGCCATTCCCTGGATTGCGGATGCTGTGGGTCCCCAAGACAGTGCTTGCGCTCCGGGGCTCGTGCTCCCCTTCTAGAGAACTGGGCACGTCTGCGGTCCCGGCGGCCCCGCTCCCGTCCGCCGCCTCGACCTTTTTCCAAAGTCGGCGGCGAGCCTGATGGGGAAGTGAGAGGGGGGCGGGCCTTCTCAGAAGGCTCGGGAAGTCCCCCGGCCTTCGCAGAAGTTTCCTGAGCCTTCCCCGAAGGCACAGAAAACCTCCCAGAAGGCCCGAGGCCCTCTGAGAAGTCCCGCTGACTTATGAGAAACCCTTCTCCTTCTCATTTCCCCCGCTCGCTCGTCGCCGACAAAAAAGGTGCCCGTCTGTGGGGCCAGCGGCCCCGCTCCCGTCCGTCGCCGCACCACATCGATTGCTGCTTGCCTAACATAGCTCCCTGACGCAACTCACACGGCATAACTTACACAGCATGGCTCAACCCCACATCGCGTAGCTTACACCGCATGAGGTGTTTTCTTACTCGGCGTTTCGACACTGGGCGGAAGGGCGAGGGGAGGGGGACAGGTCTGGCTCTGGATCTCTGCTTAGGCGACTGTTTGCAGCAGTGCGCCCTGTTGGGGGGGAGACTCCACCTGCTTGAAACAGGCGCCAAAAACAGCCAAGATCTACTCCAGAGGGGGCGGGGAGGGGGGGGGCGAGGTCCCGCGCCGATCGGCAAAATAATGAATACGACAATTATCCCAGTGCGACCCTGCCTAGGAGTTGGAGCCCCTAGGAAAGCAGCATAAGCTAAGCTAAGCTAAGCTAAGCTAAGCTAAGCTAAGCTAAGCTAAGATAGCTAAGCTAAGCTAAGCTAATATGATTTAACCTAAGTTAAGCTAAGCTAAGCTAGGCTAGACTAAGCTAAGCTTAGCTAAACTAGGCTATGCTAAGATGGGCTAAACTAAACAAAGCTAAACTAAGCTAAGATGAGATAAGCTAAGCTAATATGATATAAGCTAAGCTAAGCTAAACTAGGCTAGGCTAAGCTAGGCTAAGCTAAGCTAAGATGAGATAAGATCAGCTAAGCTAAACTAAGCGACGGTAAGGTAAGCAAAGCTAAGCTAATATGAGATAAGCTAAGCTAAGCTAAGCTAAGATGAGATAAGCAACGCTAAGCTAAGGGGGCGTCACTGGGGGAACCGCGGGGGCGGATACTGGGGGAACCGCCCGGGGCGTGCCCCACTGCCCGGCCCTTTAAGCCTCAGAGTAAGAACCCTTCTAGGCAGAGCCTAGGTAGGGAACAACCACGTAGCTCACATCATATAGCTTACACAGCATAACGTGCATACCATAATTCGCACCACATCGCTTGAACCACATTCTAACAAGACACAACTTGCTCCGCACAGCTTTCAGTTCCACAGTGCAAAAACCAATTGTTTGGGGTCCATGCTGCCTAACATGATCTCCCTTTGTGTTAAAGTTGAGATGAGAACACCCAGACTAGAAACACCTTGCCACCAACGTGCCCTGTGGTGACGTGCCCGCGCGCCCATGCACTGCCTCCTTTCTGGAGCGCGCAAGCCATGCCGCCCGCATGCCGTGCCGTGCATGTGCATCGTGCTGTTCCCGCGTGCCGTGCTCAGAAAAACAAAAAAACATATAGATAAATTATTGGCGCTCCGCGCGGATTTCTCGGTCTGCGCTGGACCCCCCCTCCCTGGCGCACGGAGCGCGCCAGGGGCTGCGCTGGAGGCGCCGCAGGGGGGGCGTCTGGCGCGGATCCAAGAAATCCGCGCGTTCCTCCAAAAGTTTCTGTTTCTGACGTTTTTTCTTCTTCGAGTGCTGTACAGTAGGAGAGCGA